AATATGAAGCTAAGGTTAAGGACAATTTACAGGGAGAGTATCACCTAGCCATCTTTATGACAATCTAGGTGATGATAAGCAGCAGAAGGATGGGAGAATGAGGGGCCAGGACCTGCAAGAGCGGGACTGCCAAGTGAGAAGAAAATATCTCACAGCTAGAAGTCATCCCCTTTCTCATGAGCAAGGATCTTCAGAGTCCTACCTGGGTATAAAACATGGAAGGTGAGCAGGATGAAGTGTGTTAAGGTAATCTACTTAAACCACATATAGGGAAATTCTCCCCTGAGTTTTCCTAGACAGTTGAGGAACTGTGTCTAAAAGGAATTTAGGAATCTCCAGTTCTAACTCTCCTAGAGGAAAAGAAGATAAATCAAGTGAGGAGGGATGGTTACTGTAAGAATACTCTCCTAAGACCCAAATGGCTTAGACTATATTGTCTTATTGTTGGCTATCTGGAATTTGGAAATAACAATTCTGGAGTTATAGATTCATGTTATGAAGAACAGGAAGCAGTGAATGAGGTGTAGGGGGGTCATTTTTTTGGTTTGTTTTTTTGTGGGTTTTTTTTTTCTTGGCTATGAAACACTTTAAGGATATGAAAGTTATTTTAGAGGTCAGACTGTTGCAAAATATCTTGAAATTTCAATCTTTCTGTTTTTCTTTCCCCCACTTACTTGGAAGAGATTTCTCCCCAATGAGTCAGAGGTATCTACATTACCTTGAGATGAAGTGGAATGGTTATGGCAATAATAAAAACACATTCAGCCTTGTTTTGAGAATCAAAATGGAAAGTCTGAAGGAAGCAGAACATTGAATTTTTACCATGACCATATAATTGTAATCATACATTCTTTCTCCTTGCCAGGGAAAAGAGCCATGTGGGATGGCATGTGACCCTATGTGTGAGTCTATTTTTCCATGGCTCTTTCATTGTTCTCCAAAAGCTTGTGATAGCTTTAATTCTAGGCTAGCTTTTCAAGGCTGTTTTCAAATCAAACAGACTTGAAAGGTAGCGCTATTGTCTTCTTCTGGGGCAGGGAGCAAATCTGTTTTCTGAACAGTATAAGAAATGTTTCCTTCTGGGCAAAGTTTGGGCATGTCGATAGCAGTCCCATTAGAAGAGTGGGGATTTCCCAAGTTTGGAGTTCCTCAGCTTTGGCACAAACCCACTTGTGCCCAGCAGACCCCTGGACCCACATTCACATGGCCCCCTTGATACTTGGAGGAGTAACGAAAACTGACGTGAGTGTAAAACTCATGTCACTACCTGCCATGCTATCAGTAACAAAGTCAGTTGTCTCAGACATAGGTGTCTCATGCATCTGCCAAGTTTGATAAAAATGTAGAAGGCTAGTGTGTAGCTTGCAAGTAGGATAAAAGCTCACACTCTTAGCAGTTGTTGGCCACCCTAGATGTGGGACAGAGGACAGTAGGCCAAGTATTGGGGAATGGGGTACTCATTGAAGAAGAGCAGAGGCTTCTCTCGGTGTTGAGTGATTGCCAATGACCTACATAGAGAAGTACCAGAGACTCCAGAGTCTAAAACACCTGCAGAACATTTATTTGCATTGGAACAAACACTAAATTTCATCTCTGTACTAGCAGTAGTTCTCAGCCAAGAGCGAAAGCAATTTTAGAAACGTGTATAGGGAGGGTATTGTTTGTTTGAGACAGAGTCTTACTGTGTTGCCCAGGCTGGAGTGCAGTGACATCACGATCTCAGCTCACCGCAACTTCCACATTCTGGGTTCAAGTGATTCTCCTGCTTCAGCGTCCTGAAGGCGTGAGCCACCATACCTGACTAATTTTTGTATTTTTAGTAGAGACAGGGTTTCACCATATTGGCCAGGCTAGTCTCGAAATCCTGACCTTGGGTGATCTGCTCACCTCTCCCTCCCAAAGTACTGAGATTACAGGTGTGGGGCCCCCAGGAGGTTTTGATTGTCAAAATGATAGGGCAGATCTGAGGGAACTACTAACATAGAGTATCTGGGGACCAGGTGTGTTAATTGATCACACACAATGATAATTTGGCTTCCCCCTACTGCCAATAGCATTACCATTAAGAAACTGTAGTCAGTGTGAGATATGGGCTTCCATCCATAAAAGTTTTCCAGCTGAAGGATGAATGTCGCTGCCCCAAAACTTTGCAAGCTCATAGCTAAATGTCCCATATGAATGTCCTTCCTTTTCAAAGCCCTGAAACTGATAAGCATTCCCTTTGTGAAGGTCTTAACACCCAGAGCAGGGATAGTAGTGGGAAAGGGAAAACTAGTACTTGGAACTTGACAGTGGTGCAAAACTCCCTATCACTCTACCATTTATATGAATAAACTATACTATTATAAGGAATAGCTCCTCAAGAATTACTTACATTTTTTAAATGACAACAAAAATGTTTTGACATTAACTAAAAGCAGCTTCCATTACTGTGTGAAGACTGGCTGAATAGCACATGTTTATTTCAATTCAACAACTATCTATTGAACACTTGCTCCACGCTAGGCATTGTACTAGGTGCTAGGGAAATAAAGGTGAATTAGATATGGTCTCTGCTCACAAAGACCTCACCACTCTTCAGGAGAAACAGACACATATACACCTAATTACAATAGAACATCTTAAACCAGACACAAAATCTGTTTTTGCACAAATATTTTTTCATATACAATAGCAATAATCCACAAAAAAAGTCACAGTAAACTATTTTAAAATGCACAGACTAATGTCAGGACAATGTTGTATTTTTAGCACAACATTATAGATGTGGCTATCTATAAAGATACAGGAAGAGTAGCTGTTCCAAATGAGAATATGGGAATCAGAATAACTCAGCATGAGCTAGAATAAGGAGGGCAGGGGCTGGCTGGAAAGAGAAGAAATCACCTGTTTCTACTTTTCCTTACTGAGGAGGTTGTGTATGGGAGCAAGGGCTGGGGCATTGCTAGAATATTTGATGTGGCACAGTGTCTGCCTCTGAATATTTTGGCAAAAGCATCTTCAGAGGCGTTGACAACTTCCAGAATCTCATGTTTGTTGTTGTTTGCTTCCATTTTAACTTAATTGTGGCTGTTTATCACTTGCCCTCATTTCTTATGAAACTGAAACTGCGAGGTCTTTTAGCAGCATATGCTGAATGTGGGGATGCATCTTCTTTTTAGGGAAGGAAGACAAATTTTAAAACCAACCCCCATCACATATAATGAATTTTACTATAGAAAAAGTGAATGTGTCACTTTCAAAAAATATATCGGTTGATAAAATATAATAAATGTAAAAGACAAGTTTTTAAAACAAGTTTAAAGAAACATCTAATTTAGAAGATTATAATCTCTTTTCAGTTTGTGATGTTTTTGTAACTCCTACAAATACATGCAGTGTTCTACATCAATATTTATGGTTATACAGGAAAAACACTCCATAAATATGCATAGAAATCATAGTTCCAGCTATTTATATGTAAATCTGGAAATGTGGAATAAAATCATTACAAACTGAAATATAAAAATGAAGGGGAAAAAAACTCCACAAAAGTTTAGCTATGATAGTGGTTGAATTTTTCTAATAAGAAGCTTCATCTGTAGTTTTAAAATAGCCAGACACCTGAAAGAACAAGACAATGTTATAATTAAATAGAAAATGAAGACTACACAATCAGCCCAAAGACCCCAAAATCAACATTTTAATGAAAGCTCTTTTTGTCTTCATTTTCTCACCAGAGATAAAAGGAACATAGAGCTCATAATTATGAAATACACTCCAAATCAGAAGCTTTGTTTTTTTTTTCCATAAAGTTAAATTATTCCTGTTCTTTTATGATACCACCAATCGGGTGCTTTATCAGTTTCCTGCCCTTAAATATTACCTCACTCCATGCTCACATGAAAGTATGTATTTGATATTTTCTATGATACTTTCTGTAAGGTAGAAACTAGTATCTGTAATTTACAGATGAAGAAACTGAGACTTACAAGCAATTTATCTGCCTTTTACTAAAGAAGGTAGCATGGTATTAATAACTATCCTCTGATACCCTAAGGCCAAAGTGTAAAAAATAGTCAAGAGAAAACTTCATTAACATCTTACTGTTTCTTCTATTTTCTCATTTTAGAAAACTCTATAAGGGCATATTTCACATGGTAAGTTATATGTTCTTTTTTAGAATAGCAATCATTAGTTTTTAATCATCACATTTGAAAGAACTAATAATGCAAACCCTTTCACAAACATAATAAAGCACAAGAAAGGTATGCTTCCTCAGAATTTCAAAATTACACTTGTGGGAGAATGGGAAAAGATTTTAATTATGATTCCATTCCCTTTATTATTCAGCTAAACAAAAAGCTAACAGATTGAAATCATAAAATATTTGCTTGGAATGCATCATACTTGTTCTTTGTAAATGGTAGGTATTGGTTTGATAGGAATACTAAAATAATAAGAGCAATGAAATTCAAATCATTTTTCTATGAGAAAAATGCCATCCTTACTACTAGTCAACTTTTCTTCCTATAGGTGAGGAGTTCAAGCTCAAATATATGCATACTACTTTATCCCCCAAAAGAACCATTCTTTTAACTTTTAATTCCCATTTAATCCAACAACTCAATTTGACGTATTTCTTTATGTAGATTTTCCACACAGCTATATCACCTTGTCTGGGAAAAGATATAGGTAAGAATGTGGCCATGTTACTAATTTAATAATCCTATTAAGAGAGAGCATTCTATCATTTTAATACGTCTCTCCTGGATAATAACTATGCTTAAAAAATCAAAACTGTCATTTCTTTTTAAAACAGGACTGTGAAATACCTGCCTGAACCAAATCCAGATACTTAACAGTGATGAGTATAAGCAGAACTGAGCACTTATTTCTATGAAGAAATAAAATCATTTTTCAAAAAATACTTTTCAAATACCTACTTTATGACTGAATTGTATGTTTGGACAGATCCTGTGAATAAAGGGCCAACTTTTAGCTGGGCTCGGAAGAAACTTTCAGCCTTTGAGATAACTGTGAAAGGAGTTTTTCTGCTCTTCATAATCTGCAAATGCACAAGCAAGAAATTCTGATCTGAAAGAGAGGGGTCTGGGGCTCTCATTCATGGGGAAAGGATTTGGAAACGTTCCAAGATCAAGACCTCTGCCCTTAAAATGTGCCTGAAGGCTTCTGAAAAACTAAAGAGAGAAAGAAAATGTTCATTGGCAGATATAAATGAAACACCTAAAATAAAAGTGAATTTTTTCCCTCTATTTTTCTCCTGAATTAACTTTAAGGCTAATCTAGGAGGCAAGAGGTTGGAAATCAAAATCCAGAAATACAAGTACAAGCTTCAGCTACTTCTCCTCCCCTCCTCTGTGCCTTCTGACATTTCAACCCTAACCAAGATAATTTACCATTCTTAGTGAAAAAATGAAGGAAGAATATGGAACAGCACCACAATTCAAAGATTCATTGTGAACTATCTCTGAGTACTAAGGTCAGAGATGAAACTGAACTCCATAATGAGCAACTCAGTATCTCCTCTTCCTTAAGATGAGATCTCTGTTGCTACTTTCTGCAAGTTTCTTTTCAAAGTTTTTCAGATTTCCATTAGGAAATAAACACAGAAGATGTGCAAAGTGCTACTTGCTTTGATGCAGGACAGGTAAAGCCCAAACCTGGGGCTTAGCCCAGGAGGGTTCTTGGCTTTGCCCAGAAAAGAATTTAAGGGCAGGTTGGTTGTGGTAACAATCTTTTATTGAAAGGTACTGTTCCTGCCAGAACAAGGCTAACTCATAAGTAGTGCACCCAGAGTTGACAACATGTGGACTCTTAGCAACTGTGTTTATATCCACTTTCAAATATAAGCAAATTAAGGGATGGTTAATACAAATAGAAGGGGGTTTAGAACTTTCTAGGAAAGAGGTGGTAACTTCTGGATCATTGCCATGGAAAGGAGTGGTAACTTCCAGGTCATTGCCATGACATTTGTAAACTGTTATGGCACTGGTGGGCAAATCGTATCCAGAGCAATGAGAACAGATAGGGATCACTTTTGTCACTATCTGCTGGTTTCATCCAGTTTTTTCACTTTATCTTCTCTGGACCAGATCCTGTTTTGGTCAGCAGTTGTGACCAGAAAACAAATCCTGCTGGTCTCTTATCTCAGTTTATTTTAATCCTATGTTGTTATATTTCACATCATTCACTTTAGAAAAAAAAAATTTGAAATAGTCATGTCAACATGTTTATTGTATTTGGCATATTGTTTTCAAGAGAATTTTTAGTGAGCTTTTGAATTCTATTTTCTAGATAACTGTATGTTAAAAATATGCCTAGTAAATTGATACCCATGCAGGGTCAACTTTCAATTTTTGCAATTAAGCTTGGCAATTACTATTTATACGGTAACTTGTTTTATCATCAGTTCAATCTAAGTTGTACAAAAGCAATTCCCTGTTACACTCTTGATGTTGCATATGTATTAGAAGTCAAGGCTACAAAGTCAATGTGTATATAAGATCAGTTACAAATGAAATGCACTATGTGTGTATAAGATTGTTTCCAAATATAAATTTGTTTCTCTTTACAGAAACAAATGTAAACTGGCCAGAGAAATAATACGTTGCCAACCACTAGGGTAGTAAAATTCTGGTCCAATCCTGTTGGAGAATCTTCTCAACACTTGCTAGCCCCCTTTCCACTATGTTCTGGAAAACAGAATGCTGTGTGCATAAATCCAAAGAGGCATTAGTTCTATCCTGAAACCCAGCCCCCAGGTGTGTTCTTACCAAGTCTCTGTTTCTGGGGTTATTTAGTGGCTTCCATTTGTCTTCATTTCTTAGTGTGGCTCCATGCACATGCCCAAGTAGCACCAGGGCAACACGTTGTAGCAGGAGAGGTGCTATGGTCATGATGGAGTGAAGCTGAGTGAAAGAGGGGACCATGGTCCATGGTCACTGAGAGATAGTCAGGGGAAAGAGAAGGAAAGATGAAACATCTATAAAGGCAGACAAGGAAGGAGAAATAGCATACTGGTTTATCTAAGTTTTACAGCAGTCTTTTTTCCATATTGACTTCTAAGTGAGGATCCTCAAATCCAACTGATTAGCTTAAAGTAGCCCACGATGATGAGAATGTTGTATAGTGATATGGAAAACAATTATGAACATAACATAGAAAGTCTGAGTATGCCTTTTTGATCTTTGAAAAAAAAAGTACTTTGTTGTCTCCAAAGAAAGTGCAATTCTTTAAATAATAACAAAAACCAAAACCTTAATTACTTTTAAGTCTTAAGATAGCAGTCTTAAAAAAAAAAAAATCACTTCACATACTGTGAGCTGAGAAACACACCTTACACACACATCTGAGACAGACAAACACACACCACACCAGTGTGAGTAGAGATTGTCTTCCACTCAAATGTGTGAAATGGAAACCAAGACACATCATAGAAAAGGCTAATAAAGCTTACCAGGAGTTCTGTTTTGGCTGGCCCTCCTAGGTTATCCTGCCTATAATCAGCAAGGCAATTCATGGGTGCTTATAACCAATGGATTGGCTGCAGGTAGAAGTCACTGATGTGAGCAGGGGGAGTTCAAAAATAATGATTCCTTTTTCACCCAAAGCACAAAGACCCTTGAGAGTCAGATCTTCAAGCTTCTTCAGGGACAAGCCTATTTGCCTTAGAAATGTGGCAGCCACTCCTTGAACCACTGAAAATTTTATGTGGATTTTATAAAACATGCAGTGCACTTACACATAGCAAAGCGATTTTCTCTTTTTTTCTTTTAAGGGAAGGGATATACATAGTAGCTGGAAATATTATGATGACTATCCCACCTGTTAGAATGTTCTTTTGGAGATATCATTTTTTTGAGTTAACAGCATTTTTTGAACAGAAAATTCTATTGTGAGAGACAAAATTATTCTTTTTGACCTATACCTTGTACTTTTCCTGAGAATCTCAAGAAGCTTTAGAAGTTTTAAATAGTGGCATTATTTGTCATAATATCCCTTAAAATAGAGCAAGAAGATAACACGTTTCATGGAAAAAAAGAAAAATTACTATACCTACAACATTCTCTTGCTGAATAAATGCCATCTGTAGAAAATGGTAGGCCGAGAAATTGGACTTGAGTTGTGACGTTGCTTTGGTTCCAATTATTTAGAATAAAATTTAGAATGAGATATTTGTTGAGAAGGCTGGTGGTCTGGACTGGAAATTAGCAAATCTGGCTACAGTCTCAGCCTTGCCATCTTCACCCTTGGCAAGTTACTATGACCTTCATTCGTTCATCTCCTCTGTTTATTCAGTCAACAGACTTTCAGGAAGTGCCTACTATCTGCCAGGCACTGCACTAAGCTTTGAGGATTAAATGTTAAGAATAACAAATACAAATACAGTCCTCGCCCTCATTAAATAGAGTAGTAGGCAAGAGAAACATTAATCAAATCATTATATAACCAAACGTGTACGTATAAGTGAACAATCATTTCTATGAAATAGCAAGTGCTATGAAAGTACAGAAAAGGGGAATTTGAGCCGGCTGTGGTGGCTCATGCCCGTAATCCCAGCACTTTGGGAGGCTGAGGAGGGTGGATCGCCTGAGATCAGGAGTTTGAGACCAGCCTGGCCAACATGGTGAAACCCCATCTCTACTAAAAATACAAAAATTAGCCAGGCGTGGTAGCGGGCACCTATCATACCAGCTACCTGGGAGGCTGAGGCAGGCGACTTGCTTGAACCCAGGAAGCAGAGGTTGAAGTGAGCCGAGATTGCGCCACTGCACTCCAGCTTGGGGGACAAGAGCAGATTTCATCTCAAAGAAAAGAAAAGGAGAATTTGATTCAGTCTGAGGGGCCAGGGAAGGCTTCCATGGGGAAATGACCTTACATCTGGTCAACTGAATAGGAGTTACTTAGGCAACCTGAGGAGGACAGAGGGAGAAGTGTGTCAAACAAGGTGAACAGCTGCGCTAGGGATGGGGCACATTAAAGGAACTGAAATTATGCCAGGTGTAGAGGGAGCAAGTGGGGAGCCTGATGCAAGATGGGGCCCAAGAGGTAGTCAGATTATGATCTTTCAGCTACAAGTAATACTGATTAAAGGGTTTTAGGCATCTAAGCAGCTTGATCATACTTACATTTTTAAAAGATTATTCTGGTTGTAATGGGGAAGACAGACTAAGCTAGAAAAGAGGGCTGCACAAAGCCAGTTAGCTGGCTACACAGTTGTCCAGGCAGGAAAGGATGTTAACTTGGATTAGGGCAGGGTTTGCACAGATGCAGAGGTGTGGGTAGATCTGAGAGAGATTTATAGGGGATTGTTAATGTACTGGATACTATGGGGCGGGAGGTGAAGGAGATATGAGTTTCAAAACCAGTTGCTGGGTCTGTGGGTTATGCAAATAAATGGGTTACAGTGCCATTCACCGAGATATCAAACCTAGGCATGGAGGAGTGAAGATCCTGATTTCATCTGGAATGTGTTGAGTTAGAGGAGCCTTTGAGATTTCCTCATGGGGATGGAGAGAATGCAATCGGATGCACTGATCTGGAGCTCAAAGGAGAAATCTGGGAAGGAAATGTAAATTTGGGAGTTGTTGGCATAGAAGTGAATGAGATTACCTCAGTAAAGATTGGAATATAAGAAAAAAGGGGGGCCACAAACTTGAGCTTTGAGAAATTTTAACATGTAACAGCCATATGCAGGAATCTAAAAAAGAGACCTTGGAGGTGAGGGAAAACTAGCGAAGTATGGAAGCAAGAGAATAAAGTGTTTCAAGAAGGGACACATTGGGTAGAATGAGGGCTATGGAGCATTCGAGCTGTTCTGGTAGAAAGATCAGAAGGGAGTGAATGGAGAGGAAAAAGAGTGAGTATAGCAAGCTCTTGGAAACACAGATGTGAAAAGAAAGAAGGCAGTTACTAGAGTGGGAAGTAGAGTTAAGGAAAGGTGTTATAGTTGTTAAAACGTGAGAGAGACTGTTTAAATGTCAATGGTTAGGTGAGTAAATGAACACCCTGGAATTTCATTACATCACTCTCTCTAAAACCCCAGGACTTTAAAGTTTAAGCATCTAATAATATTGAAATATTATATTTTTACTGAGATTATAGCAAAAAGTTATGACACTATAAACTCCTTAGACAGTGCTCACCCTCACATTCCCAGTGCTGAGCATTGAGCCCAATATGCAGCACTTTTAAAATAGGAAATACCGGCTGAATATCTTAGAACAGATTTTCATAGCCGTTTATCTATGAATAATTTATAGTTCCATTTGTATTAAAACACAGCTCATTTGTTCTCTCTTTTAAGAGCTTCTTAAATGTTTATGAAATATTTATAGTTTCTCAAAGGAACCAGTGGGCCAAAGGTAACATACATGCTATAGTCTTGTTCATTAACACTGGAATTCCCCTGATGACTTTTTTTTTTTTTTTTTTTTTTTTGAGACGGAGTTTCACTCTTGTTACCCAGGCTGGAGTGCAGTGGTGTGATCTCGGCTCACCACAACCTCCGCCTCCTGGGTTCAAGCAATTCTCCTGCCTCAGCCTCCCGAGTAGCTGGGACTACAGGCACGTGCCACCATGCCCAGCTAATTTTTTGTATTTTTAGTAGAGACGGGGTTTCACTTTGTTGACCACGATGGTCTCAATCTCTTGACCTCGTGATCCACCCACCTCGGCCTCCCAAAGTGCTGGAATTATAGGCATGAGCCACCGTGCCCGGCCCCCCCGATAATTAATAGAACATAGAATTGTTATGTTTAAGTTAAAAAAAATTAATTCCTTTGTTTCTGTTGCTTTTTTTTTTTTTTTTCTGAGATGGGTTCTTGCTCTGTCGACAGGCTGGATCACAGTGGCGAAGTCTTGGCTCACTGCAACCTCCACCTCCCGGTTTCAAGCAATTCTTCTGCCTCAGCCTCCCGAGTAGCTGGGACTACAGACGTGTGCCAAATGCCCGGTCAATTTTTGTACTTTTAGTAGAGACAGGGTTTCACCATGTTGGCCAGGATGGTCTTGATCCCTGGACCTCATGATCCACCTGCCTCGGCCTCCCAAAGGGCTAGGATTACAGGTGTGAGCCACTGCACCCAGCCCCTTTGTGTCTTTTTTTAAGAGACAGGGTCGCACTCTTATCACCTAGGCTGGAGTGCAGTGGTACCATTATAGCTCGATGAAGCCTCCACCTCCTAGGCTCAAGTGATCCTTCCACCCTAGCCTTCTGAGTACCTAGGACTATAAGCACACACCACCATGGCTGGCTCTTTTTTAATTTTATTTTTCATTTTTTGTAGAACCACATCTCACTATGTTGCCCAGGCTTGTCTTAAACTCCTAGCCTCAAAGTTATCCTCTTGCCTGAGCCTCCCAAACTCCTGAGACATCAGGCGTGAGCCACCATACCTGGCCAGTTTCTTAATTTTAAATTTCTTTTTTAAAGAGCAGAACGTACTATTGATAAGGTTGATTATGACATTTCCTTCAAAATGTATCAGCACAGCACTAATTATTTGGTTGATAGTTTCAATCAAGAGAGAGGAAAAAAAACCCATAATATTTCACGTTCTCAAATCATTAGTTTCTGGCCCAAATTATCCCATTTGGCCTCTTCATTAAGTAGAGCATTTGTAAAAGTAGTAGTTGGGACAAAAGGGTGTGGTAGCAGGCAAAAAGGTGCTTCTGCACTGAGAGCCATCTGAATGAAGTTCTTTGCTGGCATTTCTTGGTGGAATTTGAGAGGTAAATAGAGTACTCAGCACAGGACCACACACATAAAAGAAATCCAACAAATACATGTTGATTGAATGAAAACTTGAAGTATAATATAAATGCAAACAGGCTAAATGTGGGGAAAGGATAATAAATAAAGAAGGTGAGGAGGAATTTTTAAAACATCTATTGGACTATATAACCTTTTCAAACCCTT